GGGTGGGGGGGGGTCTGAATTGAGCGATCAATTATTAGACCCGGACGTCCCAACACTTGCTTCGCAAGACAAACTCAAGGTATCCCCTAAAGGGCTACCTTTCGTGATAATTACAAATAAACAACATTAAACAACACACCTTTTGATACACTTGGACAAACCCGCATGTGCTGGCAAAAACTTTTCCCATATTTTCCGTGAGGGTATGGGCAAGCAGTCCTCTGACTGACTTGAGGCATTGATCTTCAAATTATAGAATCAACAAATTAACATAAAGTGAGATGCAGCACCACCCGGGTTTCTGGAGATTTTGTTCAGTCCAGGTTGAGCTGTAGAATGACCCCGTCCGCTGCCCAACGAAGCCAAGCTGCCAAAAATCATAACCACGTGTCTAATATGTAAATAATTGCACATATATGACACATTTAGAAACTCACGAAAAAACACACAAAATCGACTGAATCCTAGTGGTAGTGGTTGGACGCTCTCCCTTGTCTAATGCACACCCAAATGGAGTAGAGTAGATACAATGATTGACCATGTCAATGAGGTTCTAAACCCCTCCGTCTCACTACCCGGCAACATTGCTGTGGCCTGTTTGAGTGTGCACCCCGCCAGTTTCATGCAGGAGTCCTCTTTTCTGATTCTTTTGGTGCTGTAATTCACGAATGAGTTTGCATTTGCAGGGGGCCACGGACCATTGGAACACACTGGTTTTAAGTGGCGATACAATGGGGACGTCTATATCTGCATACCATTGGACATCATAAGAGGCTAAGGTCAGGACCTCATACACGAGCAAACATGCCTATAAACATGTACCAAATCTGGCACCCTAGCCAATGTCTGTCACTGACGTTGTCCCATATGGGCTTGCAAGGCTGTCACCTCAGGAGCTTCTACCATAACACCACTCACACCACCGCCGATCCTTTTCATTTTCGTCCCGTGTGCAGTGACTTCGATTCTGCACGACTCGGCACATCGGCACCGAAAAAGGCCCTTCACATGGGACCTCACCTCCACTCCTCCCCGCTATCTCCAACTCGGCACATCTGCATTGGCTCCAAACACTGCCGGTAGCAGCAGGGTGTTGATGGACTCCTCGTGCGCGTCCGCGTCCGCGTGGACCCGCGTCGCGGAACGGTCCGAGAGGAGGCCCGGTGAACTCCGCGGATGGGGCGACATCCAGGTGAAGGACATGGAACGGACGGGAGGGTCATCTCCCATTCCGTTTGGTGAATGCGGAGGTCCACCTGCCATGTTTGGAGGGAGGGTCCATAGCCAGCTTCTCCATGAAGAATGATTCAAGGGAACCTGGGTCTTAAGTTAAGTCTTAAGAATGCCCTTTCAATCATGAAGCAAGAGGAAAAACCTAGGACCTACACCAATGGAAACAACGCCGTCGTGCAAAAGAACACCTGGGCAGCGTGCTTGCCCTTGCCGCTCGCTGTCTTGAGGAAATGGGACATCTTAACCTTGACTCTCCAAATGGTACAGTTACAGTGGTCTCAGAATAGGTGGCACAAACCCAAAGATGTTTGGTATAGCCGAATGAACACCCGCAATCAAACAATCGAAGAAACATACAGTAATGTCAGCATACGTCACCCCTGCACCACTGGGACAACCGACTGTCTGTTGGGACAGCCGACTGTTTGCTCAGGATTGCAACAACTCCTCAAAGGCACTTATATATATAATATGTCTTACCGTCTTAAGTCTTACGTTATATACTTCCAACAACCACTTCATGAACTGATTAGCTGATTATTTCATTCAAGGAGTTTTGTACATGCTGCTGATTGGGTCATTGGTACACCAACACGGCGAAAGCAGTGCTCACCAACCCCAACTCGTCTATGTTCGGAGGGACCTCAGAACCCTCGAAGTGTCTCCACCCAACTTCAACACATCAAATCACCCCCGCCAGGGCGACAACTGCTGCCGAATCGACCTCCAACAGCCCAAGCGTCAGGCACAGAGCTGAAGAAGGTGGTGCCAATGGCGGAACCCTCTGTGAGCTGTCGGAGGATGATTGCGAAGGCATAGGTGATGATTGCCCACAGCAAGGAGAACACACACACCGACCTAGCAAGGAGAAACACCCACCCAAGCAATCCCAAGCGCTCTCACCCCAAGACATCCGACGGTACTCGTCAGGGTGACCGCACGTACTCCCTCTCCGACCCTTCGACGCCGTCCCGTCGCATGACCCACAGTGACCACCTCGGGACCCACATGTCCCGTCGCATGCACCTGGCTGCAAAGGCGAGACCCTTGACGATGATCATCAGCTCAGGGAAGGAGCGCAACAAACGCGTGAGCCGCGTCAAGCGCACCAGCCTCTGGTGTCAAGGCATGTCAGGCATGTCGCGGTCGCGCTCACGTCTAGCGGTGACATGGTCGGTGTGGGAGGGGGCTCAGGTGGACCCAGGTGGTGCTCCGGTGGACCGTCGGAACATGAGGCTCGCGATGGCAGCGCTCCAGGAGACGAGCACCTGATCAAGCACTTAGCTGGCCAGAGTCCTTTCATGTTAACTAAGAACCTTCACCTCCCAGATGTGCCAAACACTTGCGGCTGTCTGTAGCGACAAGAATAGAAGGTTTCCACTTAGTTTGCACTTCATTTCACTTCCGTGGCCTGCACAACTCCACATCTTCAATGTGTCCTACATTCATCCTTTCCGCCCGGAGGAGCATCATTCCTCTTGCATCTCCCCATTTCTACCGGTGATGTTTCCTACATCCTCCCCACCCAAGTTCGGACCTTCATTTGGCTTCCTCGGCCCCGGTGCCCAACCACTGCACCCAGGCACCTCACCAGGCGAATGAGCCGTAGCAGGACGGTGCCCTCGGGGAGGCCAGAGGAGCCACCGGCCATCAGCAGCACGACCGGTGTGACCCAGGTCTCCTGAGAACACGGGCGCCGCCGACCAGACCACCCGACCTCAACACCATGGGAATCTGCAGTTCATGAGCTTGAGAGTCACGAACATGAGGGTACATGTGAGT